TGCCGTTATTGCAGAGGACCATCGACATATGTTAGTGTTTGGCAGAGCTACTCCTCCGATTGTGGCATGCGCCTTGATGTTGTCGCACAAAGGAGAGGGACCTACAGTTTTACGCCGACTCCTGCCGGGGGCCGACCACTATTACAAAAAAACATTTTCTTTTTTATGTTGGCCGGAACTGGGCTCGGACGCTCACCCTGCGGAATGGTAGTGCGCACTTCTAACCACTACACCACAGCGATTGCTTAATTAATTTTAATCATTAATCGCGATTAACCATTTATTCGTTAATTTTTAATCATTCATAGACTAACATTTTGTCGACAATACTCGCATAAGATAGTCCCAAACTTTCACAAAAGAGAAAAGTGATTTTCTTCAAAACTTTTGAATGGCGTCTTGACTGAACTTACTAAATCGGAATTTCTCCTATTACTTATAGAGTAGGCTTTTCATAAAGTCTGGGTAATGAAATAAAAATTTTTCTATTATATATTCCATATATATTAAGAGACTTTAATTGTTTAATTTATTTTTTGCACATAAACTTGCATCTTGAACTTATTTTTCCAAAAAGTCAGGATGTCAAAATTTTAATAGATATCGGATGTACGGCAAATTTCTAAAAAGGTCTTGTTATTAAATAAGAAAAGTCGACATATTAATATTGCATTGGCTTTATTCAACAGGGTATTAATTTTCGCTTGCATTCTTTTATGCGTAGCTTGCGCTTTATGCCTTTTAGTGTATTCTTATAGCCAAATAATTTGGCATGTGTCAAGTTACATATTAGACATTGTTGATTAATGCACGCAAATGAAAGTAGCCGCAAAATGTGGAATATGCTTATGTCAATAAAAACGTGGGAATAAAGCATTTGCATTAATTATGCTTATGTAAACAAAAACGTGGGAATAAAGCCTTTACAATAATTTTGCTTACGATCTAAAGTTTTTATGCCCTTATTATTTAGCTACGTAAGCATTTAGTTTGTATAAAAACGTAATCATTAATTCAATAAAGATCACTTGAAAGCAATCAAGCAAACAACAGTATTCGAACTTGGCGTAATCGCTACTATTCTGAACATTCTGGTGACCCCTGTGAAAGGACATTCAGCTTAAACAAGGCCAGTTTAAGGAGCCACAAAACTAATCTAAAAGAAGAAAAATGGATCGTTTCGAGGATTTGGCCAGACAACAAAGAGAAACGGGCGGCAATATCGAATCAATTGTCCGAAACTTTAAAAAGGACCCGCAATCCAGGAAGCAGTCAATCAGCTATTACGAAGAGCGATTGAGAAGACTGGACAGCGAGTGGTCGAAGTTTGAAACAACTGACAACAAACTTCGACTGCTTGAAAACCCCCAGCTGGATCACGACTACTTTACAAAGGACTACATAACAATATAATGGAAATTGTAAATCAGTACAAGGAGATTTTCGAGTCCGCAGTGCTCCAATTGGCTCAAACCCCGACGAGAGAATTGCGCTTAACAACTGATGAAGGAAGTACGTACCAACATGATGCTTCAGCTTCAAAAGTCAACACAGAAGCACGGCATGATACTGGAACCAAACAGGCAGCTTCCAACGAGTACACTAAACTAGTTCGCAGACAAGGGGTAATGATGGCCTCGTTGCGACGGTTACTGAACGATAACGTTTTACCACAATGTGTTCCAACAATTAATAAACTGTGGGAAAATATAGAACACATTCACTTCAGGATGTATGAGATGTTCGACAACCCAACCGAGCAGGGCTACAAGGTCGATAACTTCATTTCACTTGAGGAAAAGGTATGGAGTACTTTGCAAGCAGCTAATAGTGACTCCCATACTGAGCAATCTTCAAACCAACTTCCGATTAAACTGCAATCCATTTCATTGCCGAAGATAATAATTCCAAAATTCGATGGCACCTATTTAAAATGGCAAGAATTTCATGACCTATTCTCGCAACTGGTAATAAATCAACCTCTTTCAAAAGTTCAGAAAATGTGGTACTTGAAAACTCACTTAGTGGGGGAGGCTGGAAATCTAATTAAACATTTCGCATCAACAGGAGAGAATTTTGATGCAGCTTGGTTCATGCTTCTGGAGCGTTACAACAACAAACGCTTGCTGGTGAGCAAGTTAATACATGAACTAACTACTACACCTGGAAGCACATCAATGGACAATGTCAAAAAACTGCATGACACAACACAAGAATGTCTATTAGCATTGCAAAATTTGCAGATAGACACATCAACATGGGATCCACTTCTGCTCCCCCTTCTACTAAAGAAACTGGATCAACCGACTCGTTTGCGGTACGAACAATCATTATCAAAGCCACGGGAGGTACAAACACTCAAGGAATTCCTGCAATTTCTGGAGAAACACTTTCAATCCATGGAAGCGATGGGTGTCAAAGACAAACCTACAAGCTCAACTGAAAAGGTGTGCACTTCAGTCACATCCAAAGGTCATAGAAATGACACTTGCAGCATGTGCAAAAAAGGAAAACATCCATTATTTTCTTGCAAGGAATTTTTACAACAGTCTCCATCGGCACGCTTTCAGTTCATACAAGGGCAGAAATATTGCCACAATTGCCTAAAACCGGGACATGGTTCTAAAAATTGTATATTAAGAAACTGTCTGAAATGCAACAAAAAACACAACACGCTGTTACATTTCGAGGATTCGAAAAGGGATGTGAGCAAAGACATTACATCAGTAGCCACTCCAACACAAGGCAACGAATCGCAAAGTACTGCAAAGCACACAAAGTCAAACACATATGTACTACTCAGAACTGCCATGGTGAAAGTTAGAGGAATCGGAACAGAAGTGTAGTGTCGGGCAATTCTCGATTCAGGCTCACAAGTTAATTTTGTGACTGAACGATTGGTTAAACGTCTTGGCATCTCAACTAAACCATCATCAATCTCCATTAGTGGCATCGGGTCAAGGAGCACTAAGATACAGCATCGAGTCAATGTGGCGCTACAGTCTCGGATCAACAACTTTACAACGCGGCTAGAGGCAGCGGTATTGCCTCAGATTATATCCCCGCAGCCGTCGCAAGAAATCAAGATCGACGAATGGCAAATTCCTGAGAACATCATGTTAGCCGATCCATCATTCAATCGTCCTGACATAATTTAATATATCGTTGGGGGCGGAATTCTACAACCAACTGATGGCAGCAGGGCAAATCAAACTGTCAGATGACCTACCCATTCTGCAAAATACAGTGCTGGGATGGATCATCGCGGGAAAAGTTGGTGGCAACTACATCTCAAATGCAATATGTGGAATCTGTACCAACGATGACATCAACTTAGATGCAGCCATTGCTCGATTATGGGAACTTGAGGACGTGGCAACTGTAAGAAAACAACATTCGGTAGCAGAAAAACAGTGCGAAGCTCATTTCGCACAACATACACTCATCAATGAAAATGGGAGATTCATGGTAAGGCTACCATTTCATGAAAATCCGGAGGCCTTAGGGGAATCCTATGGGATGGCGTATAATCGATTCCTGGCCTTAGAACGTCGACTGGCAAAATCGCTCCAGACAAAGAATCAATATGTACAATTTATGGAGGAATATGAGAACTTGGGGCACATGACGCAAGTGGATATTGATTCCATCAGTAAACCTAGGTACTTCATTCCTCACCATTGCATTGTGAGACCCGAAAGCCGCACTACAAAATTACGTGTGGTGTTCGACGCATCAGCAAAATCGTCCACTGGCATGTTTTTGAACGACCTCATGTATACCGGACCCACTGTTCAGAGCGAGCTTTTCACCATTTTACTTCGCTTCCGTTTGCCCAGGTTCGTCTTCACCACAGATGTAGAAAAAATGTATCGACAGATGCTCATTCAACGAACGCAAATTCCAACTTATCATCCAATAAAGCATTATCAGCTAAATACAATCACATATGGGACAAGATCTGCTCCATATTTAGCCACCAAATGTTTGCAGAAAATTGCAAAAGAAAATGCATTACAATATCCTCTTGGTGCTCAGTTTCTACAGGACAATTTTTATGTAGATGACGGAATTGGTGTGTCAGACAGCTTAACCACGACGATGGAAATCCAACAGGAACTGATACACATCTTAAAACAACGTGGTCTTAACCTAAGAAAATGGTGCGCCAATCACTCACAATTACTGCAAAATGTTAGCATGGAGGAACAAGCAGTTGACATAGACTTTGACAATGACATCAATCAAACTATTAAAACGTTGGGGTTAACATGGATGCCTAAGATGGATAGATTCTGTGTAAAGGTATGCCTAGGAAGCTGCCGTCTTGGAACTAAACGCTCAGGGCCGATCTTGCAAGGCTCTTCGATCCGTTGGGGATACTAGCACCAATTGTAGTCATGGCAAAAGTGTTTATTCAAGATCTCTGGCAACTGAAGCTGACATGGGATGAAGCATTACCAGCCGATTTGAATGAGAGATGGACAACATTTCGAAATGATTTGCAAAAATTGGACAACATGCAAGTTTCACGGCACGTGTTTGAAGGATACATCCCAGCAAAAATTCAAATTCATGTCTTCTCCGACGCATCAGAAAAGGCATATGGTGCTGCGATTTACATTAGATCCGAGCTGGATGAGGGACGAGCACAAGTGAGGCTGCTCTGTGCAAAATCTCGTGTGGCACCCTTGAAACGGCAAACTATTCCTCGGCTTGAGCTCTGTGCATCAGTACTGGGTGCTCAACTAACTACAAGGGTCAAATCAGACCTTAAGCTAGACGATGTGGCTACATACTTTTGGACTGATTCACAAATCGTGTTGGCATGGATTAACTCATCCTCAGCATCATACCAAACATTTGTGGCAAACCGTATAGCTGTTATTCATGAGCACACTACCGCTGAACAATGGCGGCATATAAGCTCAAAAGACAACCCAGCTGGCATTCTATCACGAGGACTGCCGCCGGGGAGACTAGAAACCTGCAATATGTGGTTTTATGGGCCAACAATCTTGCTTGGTAAAGAAGACACTTGGCCTTCAAAGTGTTCCAAGGCATTATCAGTAATCGACGAAGGTATCAACATGGAACGGAAAGGGGTGACATCAGTCGCTGTTGCAACCACTGGACATGAAGGAAGCGTACTTTATAGCATTCGACACAATGGCTCTTTCAAAACATTACAAAGAGTGACAGGCTACATGCTGAGATTTATCAACCAGGCCAGAAACCAATCGCGGGAGTCAGACATTCCCTTGACGGTACACGAATTGGAAAAAGCGCTTGTGGTAATCGTTCGTACAATGCAGCAATCGGACTTTGAGGAAGAGCTTCGGCACCTTAAAAAATACAACGAAGTTCGCAAAAAACAGTTCTTTCCGCAGCCTGTCACTGTTTCTGGACAATAATGGTATCATCCGAGTTGGAGGGCGTCTACAAGCATCAGAACTTGCATACGATGCCAAACACCCTATGCTAATTCCACATAACAATTCACTCGCCAAATTATTAGTACAAATGATCCATAAAGAAAACCGTCATTGTGGACCTCAAGCGCTCTTAGCTTACACAAGGCAAAGATTTTGGCCTATAAAGGGAAAATTGCTGACACGATCAATTGTGCTCAACTGTGTAAGATGCACCAAAGCTAAGCCAAAACTAATGAGTCAAATTATGGGGAACTTGCCTTCAACAAGAGTAACTCCAGCAAGACCATTCATCAACTCAGGCGTGGACTTCTGCGGGCCATTTTGGGTTCACTTCAAGATAAGGGGAAAGAAACCACAAAAGGCCTATGTAGCGGTATTTTGCTGTTTTGCCACAAAGGCAGTGTATTTGGAATTAGTCAGCGACTTAACGACGGATGCGTTTATTGGTGCCTTAAAACGATTTATAAGCCGAAGAGGACATTGTCAAAATTTATATTGTGACAACGCAACCAATTTTGTAGGCGCGAAAAACCAGCTTTCTGAACTTACTGACGTTGTTTATGGAAATTCGTCACGAGAATCAATAGTAAAGCAGTAGAGCGGAAAGGGAATAACATTTCATTTTATACCTCCTAGGACTCCACATTTTGGCGGTTTATGGGAAGCAGTGGTAAAATCAGCTAAGAATCTACTAATAAGAAGCACCTCGACAGCGTCCTTAACGTATGAAGAATTGGACACGGTAATCATCGAGGTGGAAGGAATCCTAAATTCTAGACCAATCAGCCCAATGTCCGACAATCCTAACGATCTAACAGCTTTAACTCCAGGCCACTTCCTCATAGGAGAACCCCTTAATGCCCAAGTTGATCCAACGTGTAGGCCACAGCAAACAAATTTATTAACAAGATGGAAACTTGTTTCTCACCTCAAACGCGAGTTTTGGAATCGGTGGTCCCGCGAATATTTATCGGACCTTCAGCTGCGAAATAAGTGGAAGACACAACACAACAACATCAACGTAGGTGACATGGTGATCATCAAAGAAGACAATACACCGGTACTGCAGTGGCCATTAGGAAGAATCATCAATGTATATGAAGGAAACGACGGTGTAGTGAGAGTGGCTGATGTAAAAACTGCGAGTGGCACTTGCAAGAGGCCTATTCATCGGCTTGCGCCCTTGCCCAAGGAAACAAATGATGCCACAGAACGACAATCAACCAACAAACTGCTTGAGGAAAACAAAATTCCATCAAGGAGGAATAATCCTTCCTTACACCAAGGACTTGCTACACTTCTGATTACTCTACTCATCTTACACTTCAAAATAAGCAATTTGGATCAAGGCTTGACATTCATTTTGAAGGAACAGGCTCAACAGCCATATCAACCACTGATTGGGACCTAATAATCTACTATGACATGGAAGGATTGTTGGTAGAACTAGCAGCGCTGTCGAATGGCACAAGGGCCCTGCGCCATTTATGTCAAGAAATCACACAAAAAAGCTCATGTCTTTCTCTGGTAGCACATCTTGAACAGACTGAAAAAGAGTTGCAGCTAGATTACGCAATAGTAAAATCTAATCGGCGTAAACGAGGTGCCATTGATGCAGTTGGAAATATCGCTCATTCTTTGTTTGGAGTACTGGACGCAGAATATGCAGAACAAATGTCCAAAACAATCACACACGTTAAGGAAAATGAACTACATCTGCTGCACCTGATCAGAAATCAAACATCCATTGTGGACTCAACCATCAACATTTTGAAGCAGGATCAAAAAGCGGTCAAGAGGAAGTTCGACATCATTGATCAACAAGTGAGTCAAATATTCCAGAGGATCAGCAACGACATGCATGAGATATACTAAGAAAAATTATTTCGAATCTTTTCCTCGTTATCCATCCAACTCACACTTATGGCAGCCAATTTGCAAAGAATGCAATCTGCAATATTAGCCGTTCTAATAGATACTCATCACGGAAAAATAAGTCCTCTTCTGCTGACGCCCAGCCAATTGCAAGACGAAGTAAACAAAATTAAACTTCACTTATCAGCACCATTGGAACTGCCTGTAAACCAAGAAGATTTACTCCAGCTATACCAACTCATGACGGTTAAGGGAGGACTTACAGAAAAGCATGTTGTATTCAGCATCACATTGCCTCTGGTAGAGCATGATCGATATGACTTATTCAATCTGCTACCAATTCCTACTTGGACTAATGGGACTATGATTGAAATAAGTCCGTGTGCTGCAGTTTTGGCAATAAACACAGCTCTCGGTCAATATTTCCCGCTGAGCATCTCCAAATTTCAATCTTGTGTGGATATTAAAAATGGAAATTACATCTGTTCTAAAATTCAAATTCGTTATAGTCACGGTTCATCTAAATGCGCATGTGAAGTAAATTTATTCAACAACAACACCCAGTCAAGTTGTCAACTGCGAAAAACACCAAACGATGTTGCATGGATATCACTACAGCATAAAAATCAATGGATTTATGCCACGTCAGTTTCATCTCGTGCAACCGCAGTATGTGGAAAAGAAATCATTCGGGTGATTCTAAAAGGATCAGGACTGTTACCAGACTGCATACTCAAACATAATTTTATATCAGTTCAAGCAAATCAGTTGATATCAACGAGTCTTTGTTCGTCCTACACTAGCCTGGGAGAAATTTCCGAGGTAGCAGCCGCAGAACATATAAAGCCTCTTCTTCAATCACGGGATGATGAGAAATACATAACACAAATACAAAACCTCACGTCCTTACAATCATCATTGGCCAATCAACGCATATTAGAACTCCCAAACAAACTTTAAGCACAAAATGCGCACCACATAACGGTTGGGTATACTGCCTTGGTTACAGTTGTGTGCCTTTTGGTGTTCATGCTAGTCAAAAGAAAATTTAAAACAGACAAACAGGAAACATTGCACCCATCCACGACTGCGACCACATCCGGTCAAAATGAAAAACCCACACCTGCGCCTCGACATTCTCAAGGAAGTTTGGACTTTACGATAAACATTTAGGACAGAACCTGCTAAGGAATTCGAGCTGCGCTCACCGGGGGGAGGATGTTATTAAATAAGAAAAGTCGACATATTAATATTGCATTGGCTTTATTCAACAGGGTATTAATTTTCGCTTGCATTCTTTTATGCGTAGCGTGCACTTTATGCCTTTTAGTGTATTCTTATAGCCAAATAATTTGGCATGTGTCAAGTTACATATAAGACATTGTTGATTAATGCACGCAAATGAAAGTAGACGCAAAATGTGGAATATGCTTATGTCAACAAAAACGTGGGAATAAAGCATTTGCATTAATTATGCTTATGTAAAGCAAAACGTGGGAATAAAGCCTTTACAATAATTTTGCTTACGATCCAAAGTTTTTATGCCCTTATTATTTAGCTACGTAAGCATTTAGTTTGTATAAAAACGTAATCATTAATTCAATAAAGATCACTTGAAAGCAATCAAGCAAACAACAGTGTTCGAACTTGGCGTAATCGCTATTATTCTGAACAGGTCTCTTAATAGATTAGTTCGGGAAAATTATTCCAAACGAAAACTTAAAATTGATAAAAAAATCTTAACTAAATTTAACGAAGTTATATTAGAAGTTTTATTTATCCCACTGTAAGTGTGAAATCAGTTGCTATGTGTTTCCATGATACAAAAAAATGTTGAAAATACTTATGTATTTAAATATGTATTTGTATTTGTATATGTGCATATAAAATGCACTCATAAGCTTATTATACTTTATTTACCAGCTTCGCATAATTGTAATACTTATAAGCATATTCTTGATACATTAAACAGTCAGTCCACTCATAAACCTCAAACCGTCGTGTTCTTTATTCTCTCTCTACATGGTAGCAGAGCAAGGTTACTGCTGTAGTGTCGGGTGTCGGAATTAAATAAATAAAATAAAAATCAAAAGTGCAAAATCTGCTGTAATAATAAAAATAAAATAACGCTTCAAGTAAGACTTTGAATTAATATACATATACATATATATAAAATTTATAAGTGAAATTATAAGTTAAAATGGAAAAGGGTTTTGAAGTAGAGAAACTCAAAGGCCAGGAAAATTTCCACAACTGGTGTTTCGCAATAAAAAATATATTAGCATTCAAAGGTCTGCATAAGTGTATAACCGATCCTGTCACAGAAACAAACGCTGAGAAATTAACTAATTGCAAAGCCCTGTTAGCTCTAAGCGTAGCGCCATCGCTGTACGTTCACATATCCAGATGTGAAACAGCGCTAGAAATATGGCAGAAACTAAAAAATCTGTATGAGGACAAAGGCTTAACAAGAAAAATTGGGTTATTAAGAGGCCTGATCTCTTGCAGATTAGAAGACTGCGAGAACATGCAATCATACATTGATAGAATTAAAGATAATTCTAATAAATTAAATGAAATTGGTTTTGAGATAAATGAGGATTGGCTGACGGCGATAGTATTGGCTGGTTTAACTGATGCATATAAACCATTTATAATGGGAATTGAAGCATCAGCAGCAACCTTGCTCTGCTACCATGTAGAGAGAGAATAAAGAACACGACGGTTTGAGGTTTATGAGTGGACTGACTGTGTAATGTATCAAGAATATGCTTATAAGTATTACAATTATGCGAAGCTGGTAAATAAAGTATAATAAGCTTATGAGTGCATTTTATATGCACATATACAAATACAAATACATATTTAAATACATAAGTACTCATAATACATAGCCGGAACACGATCTTCTGCCGTCGATTTCTGCTGCCCAATCAGCGTCACTAAATGCTGCCAAGTTGACATCATCAGTTTTTCGATAGCTTAGTTTGAAATCAATTGTGCCTTTTAAATATCGAAATATTCTTTTCACAGCTTGCCAATGCTCATTTGAGTGTTTTAAGTTAAACCGGCTTACATTATTTACTGCAAATGCTATATCCGGT